ACTTGGGTCATGTTTCGTCCTCTCTTCCATATAGCTCCGTCATCAGCATAAAGTGCACAACCTATCCCAGGTCCTAAATTATCAAAAATATCATTTATCATAACATTAAAAAGTATTGGACTGATAGCACTTCCTTGTGGAATGCCATTCGCTGCATTAAAAAAAGATGACTGGCATGAGCCCACTTGAATTACAAATGTTCAATTGAATAAAAATTGTTTTAACCAGTTATATAATTTACCTTCTATACCCATTTTTGAAGCTTTATATAGCAATCCTTCTCGCCATACTGTATCATATGCCTTTTCTATATCAAAGTATACTACTATCATAATCTCTTTCATATTAATTGCCTTTTCTATATCATTACTGACTTTACTTAACGCATCTATCGTTGATCTTTTACTTCTAAAGCCACACTGATATTTGCTATATTTACTCCTTTTCTCTAAATCATAATTTACCCTTTGAACTATTAATTTCTCCATTAATTTGCATAAATTTGATGTCAATGCTATTGGTCGATAACCTTCAGGATTTGTTGGATCTTTCGCTGGCTTTAAGATTGGAATTATAATTGCTTGTTTCCAAGTTTTTGGAATTATTCCTTCTCTCCATATTTTATTGTATAATTTGAGTATCAATAAAATAACATTATCTGAAAGATGTTTAAACATTATGTAACTCACCCTGTCACATCCTGGGGCAGTATTTGCACATTTCTGCAGTGCTATTTTTAGTTCTGAAACGGTAAAATCCATATCCATGCTACTGTTTCTGTTTCTTCTCTCTTGCATAATATTTGGATTGGTTTCCAAAAAAACCTTTCTTCTTTCTTCGTATTCTTCACCCAATTCTAAACTATGTAATCTTCCTAAAACCTTTCCTAGCATATTTGCTTTTTCTATGTCTGATATAGCAATTATATCCTTCTCAATCAACACTGGAATTTGCTTTCTCTTTTTCCCTCTTCCACCCATATTCTGAAGCATTTTCCATACTTGATCTACAGTGGTGTCTTTTCCTATAGAAGAGAAGTAACATGGAACATTTTAATTATATTTTGCTAAAATGAACGAAATGACTCGAAAAAAGATTTGTTCATTCAACGTTGATCACACTACAAACAATACAAAACTGCTATAAGAAACAGAAAATATTAATTCATTGTTTACCTGGGTCTTCAGTCTATGATTAGCTCACCTCACCTCTTATCTGACAAGTCTTCGGGTTTGAGTCGTTCCTTCATCACGCGACAGACCCATGAGCTTAAAGGGTTAACGGAGAAATTAATAGTTCAAAGGGTAAATTATGATTTAGAGAAAAGGAGTAAATATAGCAAATATCAGTGTGGCTTTAGAAGTAAAAGATCAACGATAGATGCGTTAAGTCAGTAATGATATAGAAAAGGCAATTCATATGAAAGAGATTATGATAGTAGTATACTTTGATATAGAAAAGGCATATGATACAGTATGGCGAGAAGGATTGCTATATAAAGCTTCAAAAATGGGTATAGAAGGTAAATTATATAACTGGTTAAAACATTTTTTTTTCAATCGAACATTTCAAGTGGGCTCATGCCAGTCATCTTTTTTTAATGCAGCGAATGGCATTCCACAAGGAAGTGCTATCAGTCCAATACTTTTTCATGTTATGATAAATGATATTTTTGATAATTTAGGACCTGGGATAGGTTGTGCACTTTATGCTGATGACGGAGCTATATGGAAGAGAGGACGAAACATGACCCAAGTTCTTTCAAGTATTCAATCTGCTATTAAAAAGGTTGAAAGATGGAGTATAGATTGGAGATTTAAAATATCAACTAGTAAGTCATGTTATATGATATTTAGTAGAAGAAAATAAATTCCTAATGATATTGTATTACCAATATGTGGCAAACCGCTAGAACAAGTCAAAGAATTCAAATATTTAGGTATCTGCCTGGATAGCAGGTACACTTGGAAAAAACATATAGAAGAAGTGGAGAAAAAGTGTAGGAAAACTTTAAATGTTATGAGGGCAGTAGCTGGTAAAGAATGGGGGGCAGAAAGATCCTCAATGATGACAGTGTATCAAGCTTTGATTAGATCTGTATTTGATTATGGCTGCATGATATATGGTGCGGCGTCAGAGACATTGCTAAAGAAGCTAGATAGAATGCAATACAGAGAACTTAGAATGTGTTTAGGAGCAGTCAAATCAACACCGGTAAATGCTTTAATCGTTGAATCGAATGAATTGCCCCTGAATTTGCGAAATGTGAAATTGTCATTGGCATATTGGACATCTATTAAAAGTTATGCTGGAGACAATATTGCTAAAGATGTTCCAAAAGACTGCTGGGAGTATGTGAGTAAAAGAGGATTTAGGATTTGGGTGGTATATTAACCAGGTAGCAAAAAAAACACTAGATATCTGATATAGTATTTCTCCAGTAGATTTGGGTGGGATATAAACCAGTTAGCAAAAAAATACCAGATATCTGATATAGTATGCAGTATTTCTCCAGTATGGAGTGAAGTGCCCATATGGATAATACCTGAAGCAAAAATTGATTTGGAGATTTTGGACAAGAGAAAGGAATGGGAGGAAATGGGAATACTCAAACGTAATGTATATAGGCATATATCTGGAAGATTTTATGGAAGTACACAAATATACACTGATGGGTCCAAAGACCCAGATAAGGGGATGACAGGAGTAGGAATATATGTAGCTGACTTGGATATATTCATAAGTAAAAGATTGTCATCTGAATTATCAATTTATTCTGTTGAAATGGTCGCTTATTATAGTGGGACTTATGTGGGTAGAGGAAGTGACACCAGACAGAGCTGTGATTTGCTCAGACTCTCCTTCTGTCTTAACATCATTATCCAGCCACCAGTCACCCAGAGAAGATTTAATGAATGAAATTTTAATGTTAATATGGCGAATTCAAAGGAAAGGAATTTTAGCCCATATAGGGGTAGTTGGGAATGAAATAAGTTATGAATTGTCTAAAAATGCTTTAAAAAAAGGAAATTGATATTAATGTTCCATTAAGTAAAGGGGAAATTAAAAGTATTACTAAGAGGAATGTTACAAGAGAATGGCAAGGAGTGTGGAATTTAGATTATAAGGGAAGACATTTATATAAAATCAAAAAGCAGGTAGATACTAAAATGATTGTAAGAGGAAGGAATAGGAAGGAAGAGGGGATAATAGCTAGATTAAGACTGGGTCATTCAGGGCTGAATGGTTCATTGTTTTTAATTGGTGTACATGTTAACGGCCTATGTGAATTTTGTGGTGAGAAAGAAACAATTGAGCATGCAATATATGAATGTTTAAAGTATAGTGAGGATAGGAAGGAACTAATAGCATATCTAAAGGATAAAGGTAAGAAGAATAAGGGCGTGGGATATTTATTGGGATATGAATTTAATAGTGATAGAACTGGATATAGGATTCTATTTAATCTTTTATATAGCACAGGCCTAGATAAAAGAATATGATATAAAAGATGTTCTGTCTCGGTTTGGAGCTTCAGTGTGGAGGGCAGAGGAGCTGAACACGCAGCGCCAACCGATACCTGGACTCTGATGGCTTCAGAGTTGAGACAGAACAATGTCAACTAATATAATAATAGAAAATCCTGATTGCATAACAGCACAGTAGGTGGCGATATGCTCAAAGATTGCAACTCGCCATAAAACCAAGAAGAAGCTTCAGTGATTTTAATGGGAGTTTTTGAGAGTGATTGAACTCTGGCTAGACTGAAGTCAGTGATAATGTTTTTTGATAATGTAAATGTTCTTTCCGCTCTTTCTGTACCATGAAAGTGTTATAATTAGTAACTTACAATGTTTTTATTAAATTCACATTAAATACAAAGTTAGTCATATTAAAAATATTTTATGGCATGACACCCATATCTGGTACTTAAGTAAAAAGACGGGTTTTTATGCATAGTTAATAGATTATACTATTAGGCTACTTTGCCCATTGCCTATTAGCCTAATTAGTTAGATCAACTAACATAATTTATAAAGGTGCAAAATGCATTTACTTACACATAATTGAGAATCAAGATATTTCATGATATAGTTAACATGTTTGGGAATATTTAGAATAAAAAGGAAAAAATAAATGAAACATAAGCCTATATCAGTCATATAGTGCTATTGTGGCTGCTGTGTGTCACATGACAAGCATGATGAGGCCTCCCCCGCTCCCCCAGTTACTGTGGTCTAGAACCGCCACTGCTTAAACGTAACTTAAATTTCATTTGTATCTTTGTTCTATTGTATTTTGCCTATAATTTGTTTATTCATTCTTATTTTATTACTGTTTCCTTGTTTTTTTAATAATTTTTGAACTTCATATTCAGTGAACTTAATATTGAACTTAATAGTTTTTTTCTCTGGTACAGCAATTTGAATCGAGATTTTGTTGTCATAGCTTTATTTATTAAAAAAGGTATTGTGTCAAAAATAGGGCTGCACGATTAATCGCATGCGATATTTAACGCGCATCTTGTCAGAAAGCCGGTTCTGTAATCAGCGGTAAATCTCCATCACCTGCGTGCTTTCACATTGAGCAGCATTAACTACACAGAGCCATTGTTCACTGACGAGCTGCGCTAAACCACGTTCATTCGCGTTAAATATCGCATGCGATTAATCGTGCAGCCCTAGTCAAAAACCAATCTGAGATAGATAAATTAAAGAAAAAATATTTAGCATTTAGCCCTGCATTTATATTTTATCTTTGTCTTTTTTGGAACTTTCTTTGTATAGACAAAACAGGTGAAACATTATTCAAAGTATCTTTTTTTGTGTGTGTGCCACAGAAGAAAGTCATACAGGTTTGGAACAGCATTAGGTGACAGAATTTACATTTTTGGGTGAACTATTCCTTCATGCATTGAAACCTCTCATGAAAGTTCGTGCTTCAGCATGAGTTGCTCATCATATTATTTGAAGCACTAAAGTGTGTGGATGTTTGCACAGGGTTCGGTTGTGGCATCTGACGTAGAGCAGCTGAAACAGGCCATAGCGGAGTGCAAGAGACTGATCCTGGAGCTGCCAGAACATTCAGGGAAACAGAAGGACACGGTTATCAAACTGATCCACCTTCGGCTCAAACTACAGGAATTAAAGGTTTGCACTACCAGTCAAAATTTGCAGACAATTATTGGTTTTAATAATAAACAATGAACAAAGTTAAAATAGGCCTTAAAGGATAGTTCACCTAAAAATGAAAATTCTGTCATTAATTACTCACCCTCATGTCGTTCCAAACCTGTAAGACCTTCGTTCATCTTCTGAACACAAATTAAGATATTTTTGATGAAATCAGAGAGCTTTCTGATCCTGCATAGACAGCAATGGAACTACCACTTTCAAGGCCCAGAAACATAGTAAGGACATCGTTAAAATAGTCAATGTTACATCAGTGGTTCAACTGTAATTTTATGAAGGTATGAGAATACTTTTTGTGCTCAAAGAAAACAACGATAATGACTTTATTCAACAATTTCTTCTCTTCCGTGCCAGTCTCCAATGTGCATTCACGAGTGTACCACGATGCATGCATGTGGTGCTGCTGATACAGGAGCCGGCGTTCTGACGTAGAACCCGGATGTTCTGCACCTTGTTTGCAAGCAGAGGAATGCACACACATGCGTCTTGGTACTGTCGTGAATGCTCGTTGAAGTCTGACACGGAAGAGAAGAAATTGTTGAATAAAGTCGTTATTTTTGTTTTCTTTGTGCACAAAAAGTATTCTTGTAGCTTCCTAAAATTAAGGTTGAACCACTGATGTCACATGGACTATTTTAACAATGTCCTTAACTACATTTCTGAGCCTTGAATGTGGTAGTTCCGTTGCTGTCAAATATACCTTAATTTGTGTTCTGAAGATGAACGAAGGTCTTACGGGTTTGGAACGACATGAGGGTGAATAATTAATGACAGAATTTTCATTTTTGGGTGAACCATCCCTTTAAACAAAAATATAATATTTGTACAAATACAATAAGTTTACTTCAGTCAAAGCTAAAGCTGAGTTAAATCTTTCATTGTCCTTCCCCATTAAAATGCATATGTTAATTAAAATGTGATGTACACATTATAGATACCTTATAGATTTACAATGTAAGCATAAAAAAGTATGCAAATACATTATTATGGTACTATACACGTTATAGTGTTACTCTGAATCACTCTGTTGTTGTATAGAATATGTATCAGGGTACCTGTTCTGTATCTGTATCCACCAAGGGTTCCTGATTTAGATCAAAACATTTTTGAGTTGATGATAAACATAAATTCAGTAGTGTCCAAATATTTGGCTAGCAGTAAATTGTATAAATAAATTGTGGAATTTTGTGTTTTACTGTTGTGTTGGATATAAACAGGACCCAGAGGAAGATGAGCCCAACCTGCAGGTTCTATTGGAGCATCGCTTCTCAAAGGAAAAGAGCAAGAGTGTCAAACAGATGTGTGACAAGTGTAGCACCATCATATGGGGTCTCATTCAGACCTGGTACACCTGCACAGGTCAGACCATCTCAACTGAACCCAATGATTATTAATTAAAAACACAAATGATTCAGTCATTATGTACTGTCTTTCCAAACCAGTACCCAAAGAAAAATTATTATGCAGCTCTTTTCAATAAAACACTACTTTTATAAACCTTGAAGTTCCTAATGACTGTGAAGCTGCTAAAAGAACAAAAATACTAATAAAGCATGATAGAACTATAAATATCCATATGAAAGTAGTCCGTATGACAAGTGCATTATGCGTATGACCAAGCCTTCCAATATTATTTTTATATATATAAAAAAATGATTACAACCCCAATTCCAGAAAATTTGGGATTTTTTTTTTTAAATGCAATAAAATCAAGAATCTGTGATTTGTTAATTCTCTTTAACTTTTATTTAATTGACAAAAGTACAAAAAAAAAAGATTTCCAAAGTTTCCCAAAGTTCACTGATCAACTTAAATGTATTTTGTAAATATAAACAAATTTTGATTTTGCTGGCTGCAACACACTCCAAAAAAGTTGGGACAGAGGTAAAATAAAAGTGAAAAGGTTATAGAATATCCAAATTAAACTGTTTTTAAACAGTTCACAGTAAGCAGGTGAACTGGTAATTGGTGAGGGTATCATGTTTGGGTATAAAAGGAGCATCTCAATCTTTGAAAGCATAGCTGGATCATTGCTTATCACCTTGTGCCAAATTTCATGAGAGAAGTGTCAAACAAATCAAGAATCACATTTCTCAATGCAAAATCGCAAAGAATTTAGGTCCTTCGCCAACTACCAAACATAAATATGTGAAAAGATTCAGGGAATCCAGAGAAATCTCAGTCTGTGTAGGGCAAGGCAGGAAACCTCAGTTGAATGTGCATGACCTTTGAGTACTCAGATGGCATTGCATAGGAAACCGTCATGCTGCAGTGTTAAATATAGCCACATGGGCTCAGGAGTACTTCGGAAAACGCTGTCACTTAACACAGTCTGCCGCTGCATCAATAAATGCAACCTAAATCTCTGTTTCTCTAAGAGAAACCTATACATCAATTCTATACAGTGATGTTGTGGGATTCTCTGGGCCATAGCTCATCTCAGATAGTCAAAAAGACAGTGGAAATGTGTGATATGGTCAGATGAGTCCACATTTCAACTTGAAAAATGGACGTTGAGTTCTCAGTCTGAAAGGCCAAAGGGACCATCCAGACTTTCATCAGCAACAGATGCAAAAGCAAACATCTGTCATGGTATGGGGGTAAAATTGTCATGGAGGCATATATTGGAATTGTACAGAGACATATACTACCGTCAAGATGACATCTTTCATGGGAAGTCCATGGTTATTAGATCAAGGCAATGGCAGGTCTCATTCTGCATGTGCTACAGAGTGAATGTGCTAGATTGGCCTGCCTGCAGTCCAGTATCTTTCTCCTATTGAAAATGTATGACCAGTCATGAAAAAGAGAATCAGACACCGACGAAGTCTTGTATCAAGTGAGATTGGACAAAAACTTTGCTTGCAAAACTTTTACAATTAGTATACTCAATTCCCAAACAATTAAACATTGTAATTAAAAGGAAAGTTTATGTGACACAGTGTTAAACATGCCTCTGTCCCAACTTTTTTGGGGTGTGTTGCATTTATTAAAAAAAAAATATATATATATATATATCTCAGTGTTACTGTGTTCCTTGACATTTCAAACAAGTATTTATAGTGTGATTAAATATAGTGTGATTTGTGGTGCACTGTTCACAAAACCTTGGATAAATCTACAGTGAAGTAATTTACACTTCAGGCTTTTCAATCCTACACTTGGCTATAATGGAGTATTATTTTAATTGCTTAAGCATGTTCAGATCTTACTGTGATGGACTGATCGTCCATCCAGGCTGTTTCCCTGCCTTCACCCTGGGATGCTGGATCCCTGCAATTCTACATAGTACAAGTTGTTTAGAGAATGGATGGATTCAGATCTTACTGTGTGATCAAAGGGAACGCAACTTAATGTTTGGTTTCAAAACGATTATAAATTGCTTTCCATTTCTGGTTCCAGGTTGTTATTACCGTTGCCATAGCAAGTGCATGAATCTTATCAACAAACCATGTGTGAGGTCAAAGGTCAGCCATCAGTCCGAGTATGAACTCAGCATCTGTCCTGAAGTCGGTTTAGACAAACAGGACTACAGATGTGCTGAGTGTCGGACACCCATCTCTTTAAGTAAGTCTCTTTCCAAACAGGCATCACATCTTCTATTGCTTTTCCAACATTTATCTATGTCGCTGATGATGACACAAATGTAAACAGGTTTATTTTGTTTGTTTTGTTTTTGTTTAATAAATTCTTTGTCGTTATTGTCAGAATTTTTTGATTCAGTGTTGTATGATTGCTCTATAATGGGAACAAATGGTGAGTTAACTTTGATATTTAGAATTCCCTTGCATAGGCAGTTGTATAACGTTGTCATATGTTGTGTAGGGGGTGTTCCTAATGAGGCACGGCAGTGTGATTATACGGGCCAGTATTACTGCAGCAGCTGCCACTGGAATGACACAGCCATTATTCCAGCTAGAGTCATACACAACTGGGCGTTTGAGCCCCATAAGGTACAGTAACACTGAATCCTAGTGAGCTACCATGTTGTCTAATGTCTACATAAAGGCCCCACGGTTTTTTCTCCATTTCTGTCACCGATGGAGTTTTGGTTCCGTGCCACTCTCGCCTTTGGCTTGCTTAGTTGGGGGCATTTAATTTCTGGCAATATTGTCGACTTGATTGCACAGATACTATCTGACCTGGACGATGACTTGACCTGGTTACTTGACATGACTCACAGCGAAGTTAGGGGTATGATGTTAGCAAAGATCCCAATGCTGCCAAGAGCAGTGTTTAGATGAATATGTAAATATGTGCTGCATGCTTTCCTCTCAATAAAAAAAAAACAACAAAAATTACATCAATGAAAAAAGTTAAGAAAGCATCTGATCATAGCGATGTGGATATGCTTGCACAAGGTCTGCTATTCGGCACTTCAGTCAAGTAAAGTCACATTTATTTATATAGCACTTTATACAAAATATTTAAAACCAAAGAGCTTTACAGTATTAAACATGAAAAAAACAGTGCCAGAGTTTATTTAAATTAGAATTACTTCAATTTCTACTATTAAGCAGCTCTCAAGTGTTTATGGTTTAGCCCCAGATACAGATCCCCTGTAAAGACCTTGTCTCAGACGACCACCGGGACAAGACCACAGGAACCAGATGTGTCCTCTGCACAATGTGACTTTGCTGCAGCCTGAAATTGAACTGCTGGTTTTGTCTGGCCAGAGGAGAACTGGCCCCCCGACTGAGCCTGGTTTCTCCCAAGGTTTTTTCTCCATTCTGTCACCGATGAAGTTTTGGTTCCTTGCCGCTGTCGCCTCTGGCTTGCTTATTTGGGGACACTTCATTTCCAGCGATATCGTTGAATTGATTGCAAATGATTGCAAAGATACTATTTAAACTGAACTGAGCTGGATGATGACATCACTGAATTCAATGATGAACTGCCTTTAACTGAAAAATGAGTGTTTACTATTGTCATTTTGCATTATTGACACACTATTTTCCTAATTAATGCTGTTCAGTTGCTTTGACACAATCTGTATTGTTAAAAGCGCTATAAAAATAAAGTTGACTTGACTCGCGGACGTCAAACCTCAACGGACTCCATGTCAAAGAGGGCGGAGCCCCTGTACACGCCTACCTATTATATAATTGCTGGATCAATGGTAGTTCTTTTTTAAGTTTTCTGGAAAGTTTGCTTTGGCAAGCTGTTTCAAACTCCCAAAACGAACTCCAAACCAACTTTTTCGACAATCCACTCTCAGGTCTGTAACCAAGCAACCAACACTGCATGAGCTGCTGATGAGGTAAACAAAATAATAAAAGCTACCTCACTTTGAAAATCGCCTTTTGCAAAAAACTGTAAGGCATTAGTCACTTGCACTATAACTGGTAATGTTCCGTGACGCTTTGATGGTCTCTGTAATGCTGGTTGCAGTTCCTGTGCTAACTGGTAATATGTTGCGCGGCAGTCTGTAATTACTTATAAGTGTTTTGTCATCAAAATGTAACACATCTTCAGGGTCCTCCAAGAGTCTTTCTACCATTAAACATCTCCGTTCTTCATTTTCAGTTATTAATAAATGTAATACCATTGTTGGACAGTGCAATTGTAAGCGGTTTTTCCGTTAGCTTTCAAATAATTTTGAAGTTAGGACAGCTGTGGGGTTGTCCTAAAGTTAAGACAGTTTTTAGAGTTTTTTGTCAAGTTAGGAGGTTTCTGTAATACTCCCTTCCTACCTGTAGTTAAGATAAGATAACACACTTAGGAAACGCTGTTCTGTAATAGGTTTTGTCCTAAATGTGGTCCTAACTGAAATTACCATGGTTACCAAACAGATAAGATAAGATTTTAAAGTTAGGATCTTTCTGTAATATGCCCCCAGGTAATTTTTCGATTTCACTCTAAGTATATAGAGGGCTTAAGCAGCTACCTTCTAAGACAGCATCTTAACTGAAATGGAACTTCACAAGTGGCTAATTTGAAACACTCCACAAAGGCAGAAAATCCACATGGCATATCTTTGTTTTTCTGTTGGAATCTCACTGCAGTCACCCGGATCCAGTACGTATTCAGACCAGATGGTGGATCAGCACCTAGAAAGGACCTCTACAGCCCTGAAAGACAGCGGAGACCAGGACAACTAGATGAGCCCCAGATACAGATCCCCTGTAAAGACCTTGTCTCAGACGACCACCGGGACAAGACCACAGGAACCAGATGTGTCCTCTGCACAATGTGACTTTGCTGCAGCCTGAAATTGAACTGCTGGTTTTGTCTGGCCAGAGGAGAACTGGCCCCCCGACTGAGCCTGGTTTCTCCCAAGGTTTTTTCTCCATTCTGTCACCGATGAAGTTTTGGTTCCTTGCCGCTGTCGCCTCTGGCTTGCTTATTTGGGGACACTTCATTTCCAGCGATATCGTTGAATTGATTGCAAATGATTGCAAAGATACTATTTAAACTGAACTGAGCTGGATGATGACATCACTGAATTCAATGATGAACTGCCTTTAACTGAAAAATGAGTGTTTACTATTGTCATTTTGCATTATTGACACACTATTTTCCTAATTAATGCTGTTCAGTTGCTTTGACACAATCTGTATTGTTAAAAGCGCTATAAAAATAAAGTTGACTTGACTCGCGGACGTCAAACCTCAACGGACTCCATGTCAAAGAGGGCGGAGCCCCTGTACACGCCTACCTATTATATAATTGCTGGATCAATGGTAGTTCTTTTTTAAGTTTTCTGGAAAGTTTGCTTTGGCAAGCTGTTTCAAACTCCCAAAACGAACTCCAAACCAACTTTTTCGACAATCCACTCTCAGGTCTGTAACCAAGCAACCAACACTGCATGAGCTGCTGATGAGGTAAACAAAATAATAAAAGCTACCTCACTTTGAAAATCGCCTTTTGCAAAAAACTGTAAGGCATTAGTCACTTGCACTATAACTGGTAATGTTCCGTGACGCTTTGATGGTCTCTGTAATGCTGGTTGCAGTTCCTGTGCTAACTGGTAATATGTTGCGCGGCAGTCTGTAATTACTTATAAGTGTTTTGTCATCAAAATGTAACACATCTTCAGGGTCCTCCAAGAGTCTTTCTACCATTAAACATCTCCGTTCTTCATTTTCAGTTATTAATAAATGTAATACCATTGTTGGACAGTGCAATTGTAAGCGGTTTTTCCGTTAGCTTTCAAATAATTTTGAAGTTAGGACAGCTGTGGGGTTGCCCTAAAGTTAAGACAGTTTTTAGAGTTTTTTGTCAAGTTAGGAGGTTTCTGTAATACTCCCTTCCTACCTGTAGTTAAGATAAGATAACACACTTAGGAAACGCTGTTCTGTAATAGGTTTTGTCCTAAATGTGGTCCTAACTGAAATTACCATGGTTACCAAACAGATAAGATAAGATTTTAAAGTTAGGATCTTTCTGTAATATGCCCCCAGGTAATTTTTCGATTTCACTCTAAGTATATAGAGGGCTTAAGCAGCTACCTTCTAAGACAGCATCTTAACTGAAATGGAACTTCACAAGTGGCTAATTTGAAACACTCCACAAAGGCAGAAAATCCACATGGCATATCTTTGTTTTTCTGTTGGAATCTATATCTTACTATCACTCTCTGTTGTTTAAACTGCTAAAATATAATTTGTTTATCACCATATTTCTGATATTATCTATCAAACTAATTTGACATTGTTCACTTTTTAATCGAAACCATTAACACAACGTGTTAGCATTTCATTAGCCTGTTAGCTTGTCATTTGCACCTGCCGATTCTTTTCTCTCTCTCACTCCATCTTTTACGAGTTCATCAAACAACTGGTAAATCGGAATCATTCAAACAAACACGGTGATTCATGGCTTCTCCTGTTATTGTCACTTGCATTGCTTGCCACGTTTAGTGTAGCCTTCTCTGTCAGTGGTGAGGATTCACATGTGATAAATGAAAGGAAATAGTTAGGCTGACAGAGCAGATTTCAGAACTAGAGACATGCATCTAAACTTTAATCGAGGATAGTAAGAAAGCGAAGGCCTTAGATACGGCTTTGGATGTGACTAGCTTAGTGAGTTCCGTACATTGTTCAGCTCCGGTGGCAGAGCTCTCGCAGCAGGGCTATTGGGTGACTGTGAGGCGGCATAGTCACGGGACAAAACACCGCTCTTCCGTTACGATGAAAACATTAAACAGGTTCTCCTCACTGAGTGATGCACCCACTGAGAAACCTTATGAAATTGCCTTATTTATTGCCGATTATATTGTACGGAATGGGAAAATAGAGACACCAGCCACCATAGTTTCAAGTTTCAAGATTTATTTGTCATATGTACAAGTGTCAGTGACAGAATGTACATTGAAATGCTTTTTGTAAGGCTTAGGCAATCTACAGCAGTACAAAAATAACAACAGAAATAAATAATAAAGGGGCAAGCAAGACAGAAGTTTAAGTAACAGAAATGTAGAATAATGATTACAACAGATTCACAATGCAATACAGTACAATAAGAATAAAAGTAAAAAATAAAAAGTGCACAGGTGCAAGGCTGAGGCGGAGACTTTGCTTAGAGGTATGTAATGTAGTTGTGCAAAGTGTGCAAGAATCAAAAAGACATGATGTTTTTATAGTCTTTGATATGATATGAAGGGGGATAATAGTGCAATTTTAGAGACACCTTGTCAGTTTATTAAGGGTTCTGATAACCTGGAGGTAGAAGCTGTTTTTCAGCCTGCTGGTTCTGGACTGAATGCTCCGGTATCACCTGCCTGATGGCAGTTTGGTAAACAGACTGTGTGCTGGGGACTAGGGTCAGTTGAGATTTTTCGGGCCTTCCTCAGACATCGCCAATGAAAGATGTCCTGTAGGGATGGAAGTTTGTTGCCGATGATGACTTCAGCTATTTTCACAACTCTTTGAAGGGCCTTGTGGTCGAGGAATGAGCAGCTGCCATGCCAAACAGTAAGGCATCCCGTCAGGATGCTCTCAATGGTACATCTGTAAAAGTTTGTAAGGATATTGGGAGGGAGACCAAAGCTTTTCAGCTTCCGTAGGAAGTAGAGCCGCCGGCGTGCAGATTTAACTACTGATGTGGTGTGCAGAAACCAGGATAGGTCATCGGAGAGGTGCAAACCAAGGAACTTGATGCTCTTAACTCTTTCTACTGCAGATCCGTTGATATATAAGGGGGCGTGGCTGACCTCCTGTAGTCCTTGATCATCTCTTTGGTTTTGCTGACATTGAGGCAGAGGTTGTTGTCATTGCACCACTGTGATAGTGCTCTCACCTCATCTCTGTAGGCCGTCTCATCTCCATTTGTGATGAGACCCAGGATTGATGTGTCGTCAGCAAATTTAAAGATGATATTGGAACTGTGTTTGGCAGTACAGTCGTGTGTGAACAGAGAGTATAGGAGGGGGCTGAGAACGCAGAGCCTGTGTCCTGTGCAGTGTGGATGAGAAATGGTTACCAATTCTCACCACTTGGGGTCTGCAAGTCAGAAAGTCCATTATCCAGTTGCAGAGATGAGAGTTCAGTACTAAATCTCTGAGCTTTGTGATAAGTTTTGATGGGATGATGGTGTTAAACGCAGAACTGTAATCAATAAACAGCGTCCGCACATAAGTGTTTTTCTTGTCCAAGTGTGTGTGGGCATTGTGAACGGTTAGAGCAATGGTGTCATGAGTCGATCAGTTTTTCCTATATGCAAACTGGAGAGGGTCCATGGTGTCTGGCAGGAAGGAACAGATGTGGTCTTTAATGAGCCGCTCGAAACACTTCATGATGATAGAGGTCAGTGCCACAGGTTGGTAGTCATTCAGGCAGGTGACAACAGACTTCTTAGGGACAGGGACGATGGTGGTTTTCTTAAAGCAGGTGGGAATCACAGACAGTCTAAGGGAGAGATTGAAGATGTCTGTAAGCACCTCCGCTAGCTGGTTGGCACACGATCTGAGGACATGGCCATAAACACCATCAGGACCAAGTGCTTTGCATGGGTTGACCGCTCTAAGTGATCTGGACACGTCAGGCAATGAGAAGGTAAGAGAACAGCTGTTATTATCTGCTGGCAGTTTCACTGCAGGGAAGGTGTTGCTATCCTCAAACCGTGCGTAGAAGGCATTCAATTCATCTGGCAGAGAGGCAGACAGATCCATGTTTTAGGTTTTTCCATCCTTTTTTCCACTGTTTTTTTCCAGCAGCAGGACCAGCTTCTGCACTGGGCACTCAACTACTGATGGTTTGTTTACAACTACTGACGTTTACCATCCACCGCCAGTTTTCTGTCTCCAAAACATATCTTCACTCTTCTCACCAAACCATCCTTGTCTCAGTCTCAATAACTTCTGCTAAGCGCCACTCATTCCTGGGTAGATCGTCTGCCTTCTCCAAGACTATATCTCCAACTTGCATGTTCTTTCTTGGTGTAAGCCAGCATAGTCTTATTGCAATGTTAGACACATACTCCTTGCGCCAACGTTCCCCTAATTATTGGACATGGTGCCATCTCTTACGAGCATATATGTCTTCTCTGACAAACTTGCCAAGGGGTGGTAGGGCTTGGGTAGTTTTCAGGGTGAGGAGGTGATTAGGGGTTAGAGGCTCAGGACTGCAGGGATCACTTAAATTATCTACAGTGAGTGGACGGCTATTTACAACGGCCATGGCCTCAATGCAGGCCATTGATAAAGGCGTCTGTGGACATGTCATCCAGCATCTCAATATGGATGGCTCTGCAACAGAAATCGGTAAAGAAAAGTCCATACCTCTTTTATGATTTACGACCTTGTCTGGTGATGAACGGACCAAAAACATCCATTCCACAGTACGCGAATGGAGGGGATGGATCTATATGCTCTGAAGGCAGGTTAGCCATTTTTTGCTCCTCTGTGGGTCGGTGAAACTTGCGACATCTCACACACAGTCATACAAAGGAGGCTACTGTCCTGTTTATTTCTGTTATTCAAAATCCTCTTGTTCTGATCTCATTTATAATCAAGCCCTTTCCTTGATATGCCATTTTTTCATGACAATCAGTGATCATAAGTTTTGTAAGATGGTGTTCCTTTGGAATTATCATTTGATGTTTAACGGAGATAGGGACAGAAGCATTGCAAAACCTTCCTCCCACCTTGAGCAATCCGTCGTGGGCGACAAAGGCATCTAGATTGTATAGTCTGTTTCTGCGTGGGAGTTGTTTGCCCTTACGGAGTAAAGCTATCTCTTCTGCATATATCTGACTCTGTAAGTCCTTGATGATGATGATGATGCACTTAGCATCCTCATGTTCTGCCACTGTACTGTGGTCATTTGACTTGTCCTTCCTGACTCGACGAAGTAGGCGTGCAACTGCTTTGATGACTTTGGACCATGAGGACAACCTTGTGAGACGGTTGGATAAGCAGGAATACTGTGCTGTTTGCGTGTTCAGTGACTGAGCCTTCTTGACCTCTCGGTCACCAACTGGAAGTTGTGTGTTAATGTCCACGGGGGAGGTATTTGCCTTTCCCACAAGACATTCGGACCTCTGAACCAGCTGGAAGTGACAAGATCATTAACACTCAGACCTCATTGTAACGTTAGTGCAGATGAAGCAGAGGATCCAAATGCAGTTAACCCTCTGGGGTCCGGGGGTGTTTTGGGGCCTGGAAAAGTTAGCGATAATGAGGGCGACGGCCAAGACTTGACATCGCGTTGGTTTCATACTGATTACTTTGTCACACAATATTTGTTTTCGTCATGACTTACTTCGTTTAAAAGTAGACATGTTAAGCTTTCTATAGATATATCTCTCATGTGTGTGTGTCAAATATTCGCTGAGTTTCAGTTCATTTTAGTGACGCGTTTCAAAAAGATATGCGTGGAGAATGAGACGGCTAAAAGCACACCCTGTATATTTTCTTTATTTTGCAAAAGCACAATGTTTTGTTGATATTGTGAGTGTACACAAATAAAAGTAGACCCTTTACAGATTGAAATGCTGTATTACTCTTATATGTATGATCAAATATGAAGGAGCATTTTAGTTCTTTTCGCTGTCAACATTCAAATCTGCAAAAAGTTCCGCCGCCGGAACTGTCGACCCCAGGAGGTTAAAAAGGATTTATTAAACAAAAACACAAAGTAATCCAGACTTGGCAATGGCAATAGCAAGACGAGACAAGGAGCACACGAAACAGCCTTTACAGGACAACAACAGACCAAGAATTAAGGCAACATAAGGGCTATTTATATCAAACAAAGAGGGTCACATGACAAGAACCAACCAATGAGAAACAAGACACATGACTAAGACAACCAATGAGAATATGAAACATACACAAGGCAGAAATATATAAGGGCAAGGGAAGCATGACGCCAACAGCATGAATCAAATTACAAAATAAAATACATGAAAACAAGAACATGAAACAAAACCCAAAACAGACATTACACTCGTGATGTATAGTCGGCTGGATTTTCATCCGAGGGAATGTATTGCCACTGCTGAGGAGGTGTACTGCGATTAATTCTCTGAACTTGATTCGCAACAAATGTGTGGAAGCACCGAGCTTCATTGTTTATGTAGCCTAACACCACTTGAGAGTCAGTCCAGAAATATGCCTCTGCATCTGCAAGGTTCATTTCTTCCTTTAACATATCATTCACTGCAACTGACACAACCGCAACAGTCAACTCTAACCGAGGGATTGTTGTGACCTTAAGTGGGGATACTCTAGATCTTGCCATGAGCAAAGAACAATGAATGTCACCTTGGTCATTCTCAAACCTAAGGTATGAGCACTGACCATATCCTCTCATGCTGGCCTCTGAGAAGTGATGAATCTCTCTCCTTGTGATTCTCCCAAACCCAGCAGGCACAATACAATGAGGCACCTCAATCTTCTCCAAGTTAACAAGATCGGCCTTCCAGTGCTCCCATCCTGGCTGCAAACCATCAGGTAAGGGATCATCCCAGCCCATGCCATTTCGGCACATTTCTTGAAGAACAATCTTTTCTTTGAGGAAGAACGGTGCAAGAAACCCTAAGGGGTCGAATAACGAGGCCACAGTAGACAGTATACCTCTATGGGTTGCTGGCTGGTCCTTAACGATGACGCAAAATGTGAAATTATCATGTTCCAGATGCCAGTAAATGCCCAAGGCTCTTTCCAAAGGTTGGCTAGAGAGGGAGAGATTGACAGCTGTAACGTCTACAGCACACTCAGAGGGTGGTATTGTCTCCAAAACTGCCTTGTCATTGGATACAAATGTATGCAGCCTTAAACCTCCTAGTGCACAAAGCTGGTGAGCTTCTTGAGCCAACTTGATGTCCTTCTCTGCACTTTCAACGCTGGAGACTACATCATCCATGTAGAAATCTTGCATAATGAATTGTGAACCTAGGGGATGCAGATGTTCACCTTCTCTTGCAAGATGCTTCAGTCCATAGTTAGCACATCCGGGGGATGACGAGGCACAAAACAGATGTACTCTCATGCGGAACGTTTGAGGTTGTGAGTTGAAATCTCCATTTCTTCACCATAGAAATCATAAGTAATCACGATCTGCTTCCTCAACATGGAACTGGTGGAACATCCTCTCAATATCACACATCAGGGCTACAGGGTACTGTCTGAACCGCAAGAGAATGCCAGTCAGGCTGTTCATCAGGTCAGGGCCTATGAGAAGATGATCATTCATGCCCTTGTATCTGGCAGAGCAGTCAAAAACCACATGCAATTTCCCTGGCTTCTTCGAGTGACACAGTCTGTGATGAGGGCTGTACCATTTTTCTCCTTCCCTTCCTTCATCAATGACTTCTTCTGTATCACCATTCTCTATTACGTCTTCCATGAACTTAACATAATGCTCTCTGTACTCCTGGTCCTTCATTAATGTCATCGTGTAAGCAGGTAGGATGTCTTCCCTTGCAGGTGTTACAGCTATGTCTGAAGCGACAGTCTCTGGCACTCTGACCGAGCTTCAAACATCCGTAGCACAGCTTTGTATCCTTTATAAACTGTCTTCGCTCTTCAAGAGATCTTGCAGAGAATTTAGAGATATCATGAATTTGATGTTCACTGCCTTGACAGAACAGACATGGTTTAGTGATTTTACCAGTGGGCTTTGGATTCTCATGCTGTGTGACTATATGGAAGACATTGGACTTGTTCTAACTAACCTTGAGATTATGTTTCTCCTTATTAGCTTCAGAAGTGTGAAGGGCATGGAAGGAAGTGACTGGGTTGCGGCAACCTCAGCCTCAACTGACATGAAATGGACAAAATCTTGGAAAGTTGGAAAATCTTGCATCTCACTCTGCGTTTGCGTGGCTTGGCAATTCCAGCTGGCTGCCGCCCAATCAGGAAGTTTGCTCATAAGTTTCTTATTCTATTCACAGTCATTCAGTATTCCCAGTCCCTTCACATGAGGCATAGCATCTTTATATGAATTCAGGTCCTTCAGCATCTTTGCCCAGTCTTCCTAAAATGCATTGATTTCTACAAAACCCCTCCTTCGAAAAGTGCAGTGTGCTCTGATTGGCCAGCTGACCCAGTGCATTGTGATTGGCCAATCAGAGCACACTGGTTCTGTAGAAATTGACGCATTTTAGGAAGACTGGGCAAAGAGGAGCTACAATAATGTACAGCAGGGGCCTTCAACATTTTTTAGGGCAACGACCCCTTAGGTGATAGAAACATGGAGCAGGGACCCACTGCTACAAAATGTGTCAAGCAAAGCTACATATTAAGCATATAGCCTTCAATATTAAAGGAGTCATATGATGCAATTTCAAATTTTCCTTTCTCTTTGGAGTGTTACAAGCTGTTCGTGCATAGATAAGATCCCTAAAGTTGCAAAGACTAAAGTCTCAAACCCAAAGAGATATTCTTTATAAAAGTTAAGACTTGTCCACGCCCTCCTAAAATGCCTCGTTTAAACACGCCCTCACATGTCTACGTCAATGTGTGGAAAGATTTGCATAACACCGCCCAAATGTTCACGCAAAGAAAGAAGGCATAACTTTTATTCTCGCTGTAGTATTGTTGTTGCTGCCGCCGCCATGTCGTGGAGACGCTCTGTCTTTTGTTGTGAAAGCGAAACTACTTTGTTTGGCCTTCCAAAAGAGGACGATATCTGCTTCGTCATGCCTAGAGCTGATCCGTGCTGGTTGCTGAGGAAATACATCAACTTCGCGCTGTGGATCACCGGATCGGTTTTCACCATGGACGAAGCGAAGTTCAGCCTGGGGTCGTCACATGTGGTTGCCGCAAGCCCGCCGGCTGTTCCTCACTCAAGCCCGCTGGCCTCCGATCACTCAAGCCCGCCGTGTGTGACGCTGTGTGTTTCGTCGTGAAAGCGAAACTACTTTGTTTGTGCTGAGGAAATACATCAACTTCGCGCTGTGGATCACCGGATCGGTTTTCACCATGGACGAAGCGAAGTTCAGCCTGGGGTCGTCACATGTGGTTGCCGCAAGCCCG